TCTCCAGATCAACTGTATGGATCTCTCTGAAAGGCATAGATGTAGAACATAGTCTGGAAGAACACTACTACTAATTACGTTTTTTTAACTCCATGCGGACGAAGTCACGGGCGATAGCTACTATATTCATCCCAAAAAATAAGTTTTAATTCTTTTTATATTTTAATGTAATAGAGAGATAACAAAATTAAATAAAAAAAAATACCAAAAAATTTTAGTGTTCCAATGCTGTCGAAGAAGTTTTTTTTTTACCTATTAAAAAAAGCAATATGTAAAAGAGAAAAAAGCACATGCAAGTACAAAGTATGGGAAAGAAAACATATCTAGTTCTGATTCAAATTTAGTGAACTTGATAATATTTTATAAGCTTACAAAATTTCTCTTGTCAAGTAATAAAAATTACTTTCACTTACACTAAAGTGTTTGACCTGGAAGCACAGAAATGTCGGTTTTTTGATCGAAGAGTGAAGTGACAATTTGTAGTTATCACAACATAGCCGTAGGCTACACAGGTTTTTTATTACTACATAATTATATTATTAATTTAAACGTTGTTTTGACATAAATATTAACTGTATTAACCCAAAAAATATCATTAAACACTCTTTAATTAAAGTGTTTTAACCTTTTGATCGCCGCTGATTTATCAACCACAACGTGGTCATTTTTAACCATAAATATGTATAACAAGACACTGCTTTTGTTATGAGTACTTCTTTATTTATTAAACAAGTTCTCATTTCGTAACATATTTTAATCCGCGCTTAAGGTGTAAAGGGTATGTTTAAAATTTTATTTTATTTTAAACGCTAAGTTTTTTTTTATTAATTTACATTTGCATAAATTTACCTTAAATATCAATAAACTTAAATTATATTTAAAGATTTTGATGTAAATTATGGCTAGGTTAAGGTTAAAAAAACGGTTCAGATTATAAGAGCAGTGTGTCTGACGTAGAGAGCACAGTAGTGCTAAAATGTGTAAAATATGTAGTCATTTTACTAAATATTAGGTATTAGGCGTTTCTTTTTTTTTCGAGTTATAATATCTTAACTACTTTTTAGATCTGATTTAAATACTTTCACAGATTTCATTTACGATACGACATGTTGAATCCATAAATGGCAACCTGCGTGAGTCGTCGCATATAATGATAGGTTTCCACTGCGTGTGAATCTGTAGACGGCGAATTAATACTAACAGTCACAAGCCACGCATCAATTTAACTGGTTTAATAGTTCGTCCATAGCTGACAGAGTTCGCAGAAGCACATGCCATGGAAAACTACCTTTAGGAGCTTTTGCACAGACTATAAATAACAGTAGAGACAAACCAGTCAGCTTATAGATTAAATATTATTTACATCGAATGTAATTCCGTAGTATCTATAGCTCAATTTATTATATTCAAGTTATAAATTAGTAGATCTAAGATAAAAGTTGTAATTATAAAGGTTATAAATAGTAGGATGTTGATACCAGTTTGTAGATACAATTCTTCGCACTTTTTATTACTTATGAATTATTTTTCAACTCTTTAACAATAAATAAAATAGCGCGTGACTTCGATCCTATTTGATGTTTAGATGTGATGTAGCCGAATGATGGTATGCAGAGCAAATGCGATAGTTTTAGACATTAGTAGTCAAAATCATTAAGCGAGAACAGCGCGCTTTCGTTACCAAATCAAGTGTCATATTGATTAGTGAGGGGATATAAACGTTGATGCACCGGCACAGTGTCGGATTTTGTTCCTTAAGTTAGTTGATTAAGTTAATATCTATACGCTCTAATCTTGAAGGTTCCGTCGTATTTTTACGCAAAAAGTGATGCTGGCAATTTGTTTTAAATTTTACCGTACGCTTAAGTAACGATGAATTTATAAAGTAACAAATAATTAGAAGTATGTAGGGTTGTAAGTGTGTGTGGGGGTAGTACCTGGTGCGCGGGCGGCATGCATGTGTGGAGCGCGGGCGCGCGCGGCGCATCACCGCACTTGCAGCGCACCTCCAACGCAACCTGAAACAAAATACATCGTTAAAACATAACCAAAAATATTAAACAGTGGTATGAAAGATAAGAACTCTAATATCTAACCGAACGCCGGATTGAACAGACAGACCATAAACTTTTGAATTAATTCATTGGTCATCATCATGTCCCCACATATACGTTCCCTCTGTGGGGCTCGGAACTTATTCTAAGTTATGCTCAACTAGGCTCTAGTCAACCATGCTGGAGGTCTGCTTGTTGTTTTGTTAATTGAGACGCACATACTGTTATAGTCTATATACGCACATACTATATTCTACAGGTCCTTGGTTCGAATGAGCGTCGTTTGCTCAGTGGTCAAGCACTTGACTTGCAATCTGCAGGTCCTTGATTCGAATCCCGCCATATACCAATGTGTTTTTCGATTTTTGATTTACATATGTACATTTATCCGACGTTCTTACGGTGAAGGAAAACATCGTGATGCAACCTGCACATATCTGAGAAGAAATTCAAAGTTATTTGTGAAGTCAACCAACCCGCACTGGGCCAGTGTGGTTGACTAGGGCCTAGTCATCCCTAACTTAGGATAGGCTCCGAGCCCCTCTGTGGGGACGTATAGTGAGCTGATGATGATACTATTATAGTAAGATAAACAATACCGTAGCTAGTACTAATGTAACAAAGGAATAGACATAATTTTAATTCAAAATGAGAGCAAACGGTATAATTATGCGAATTAACGTAAGTTTCGCTGATGTCTCACTTCAATTTACTGCTAATTTTCGTCCATTTACTCACGAATACCTTTGGCGACCGCAATACCGTCGGCTAACAGTACGTGACGCGACTAAACGACTCGCAGCCGCCTCAACAGATTTACTAGCCTCTACAGAATATTTATATGACTAAGAGGAATCTCGCACGCGTGAAAACATAGTTTCTATGGTTCATTGAAAAGCTTTTTATATAATTGACTCCGTTTCTTGTTAGATAGTAGCCGATTCTCAGACCTACTAAATATCCATTAAAATTTTCATAAAAATTGGTCAAGCCGTTTCAGAAGGGTATGGTAATTGTGGCACAATAGTTTTTTTTCATATAAGAAGTAGTAGAAAATCGCCAACGTGCAAACATTTTGTAAAATCGTGGTATAGCATCGAATAAGTGATCCATTCGTGTACCAAATGCTACAGACTTTAATACTGTTTAGATTTATTACATAGATGATATTATGTAAACAAATGTAGTTAGGTAAATAAAAGGACTTTGACGGAATCGAGACTGTCATAAATTAGGAATTACTACGCTAGAAGTCAGTTTCATGTTTGTATTTCTTCGCCGATATTTTTAGACATTATTAGTTAGAATCCTTTAGACCGAATGGCGAGCTTTCGTTACCAAGTCAAGTGTCAGATTAATTAGTGAGGGGACATAAACTTTGACATTTTAATAAGGCTAGTGTTGCGCCGATACACCGGCACAGTGTCGGATTTTACTTCTGACAATATACAGGTACGAACGACTCAATATTATTATTTGAATGTATGGTTCTAACATTACTATTGTTGTTACAATATTAAGATTAATTTAGACTTTATCCCTGAAACTTAGTTATGAGTACTTACCTAATATTGCTTAGGTAAATTTTCATATTACTTTCATTATTCTAGAAATTACCTAATTAAAAACTTTAAAGTCCCAACGACGTGCTTTAATAAAATGAAAATGGCGTTTATTAAAGCTTAGCTCAAATATATTTTACAACGTAATAAAAGTCAACTTTGCATATCACTGAGTACAGCCGAGGGCAATATTTAAAAGAAATTGTATAATTTGAACGAGCATTTATACAACTACGCTACTTTATTTGACTTTGTTAACTTAATTACTTAAAAGTACACGTAAAAAACAAGACATTCGCTACTTTTGACCTTTACGAGTTGTAAAAGATAAAACGTAAAACATTTTACTTTTATCTTACTAATGTTATAAATGCGAATGTTTGGATGGATAGTTATTTGGTTGAAGGTATATCCAGAATGGCTCACTGTTCTCGCTGAAATTTGGCATAGATGTAGAACATAATCATGAAGAACACATAGGCTTCTAATTATTTTTTTGTGTATTATTAAAATACATTTTAAATAAAATTATATCAAGACTAAATGAATTCCAGCTTGATAACTACACGCGTTCCTCAGAAAAACAGACAGACAGACAGACGAACAACAAAGTGATCCTATAAGGTTTCATTTTTTTTCTTTTGAGGTACAGAACCCTATAAATAGTAAAACTAGTAGAAAGTTGAGACTGATGACCTTTAGTGATTTAGTAAAAGAGGTGGCAGAAATGGTGGGAACCCTTAATTCCAGTTACACGAGCTGGTTCAGTAATTATTTCCATTTACAGCTTAGCCATTTAGAAAACACCGCCGGCCACAGGCAGCGAACAAACTTATTGGATTAGTTTTTCATTTAATTATAATTAAATGTAATTACGAATAATAGAATAGTTAAAATACTTACTCGAGACTTTCAACCAAACAAGGATTTCTTACAAGAAAACTGGCTGTCGCCCGCGACTCCGTCCGCGCGGGATTAAATATAGATGTTGGCCGATTCTCAGACCTAATCAATATGCTCACAAAATTTCATGAATATCGGTCAAGCCGTTTCAGAGGAGTACGGGAACGAAAATTGTGACACGAGTATTTTCCATATTCACGTAAACATGTTCTAATTTATCTGAAGCCCATAAGTCATATAGTGAGAGTGGAAACTCACATAACCCGTATTAGCATGAGGATTTGACCTGTGAATGTAATCCAGTTTGAAGACCGTAAAGCGAAACTATCCAGTTAATATGACGGTGAATTCATTCCATTTTAATTTTTACTAACAATATAAATGCATAAGTTTTGATAGTGTTAGGAAGAAAATCCGAAGAATGCCAGTGTATTAATCCAACACTAGCCGTACTAAAATGTCGACGTTTATGTCCCCTCACTATTCATTTTGACACTGGACTTTGTAACAAAAGCACGTCATTCGCGCAAAGGGATTATAACTAATAATGTCTAAAAATAGATATATTTATACATAAACTAGTTGTCGCCCACAACTTCATCCGTACGGAATTAAAAAATAGATAGTAGCCGATTCTTAGAAGTACTGAATAACATAAAATTTCATAAAAATCGGTCAAACTGTTTCGAAGGAGTTCTTAACTAACATCGTGATTCGAAAATTTTATATCTAAGATGTTTCCACTCCAGAAAGATTGAATGATGAAATGATGATTGAAAATAATATTCTGATGTGGAATATAATTTAGAACAAATAAAGGTTAAAGTCTCGAATAACGTATATACTAAAAAGTTCACACACGATCTAAAACTCAGCAGTTTTCTGATTCGTAAAATTATCACACGCTTATATTCTTTCATAAGACAATTCACTAAACAGCTTCATTATAATGTCCATTTACGGTACGCAAATTGCACAAAATTTTGCACATCTGACACACTGCTGTCAACTTTCTAACACTTTTGTAAAACGCATAATTGTTATTTAAATGTCATAACAAAGATCGACAACATACGAGTAAAGTATTTTAATATGTATACTTTATTCTTTAGTGTTTATTCTTGTAATATTTAGTAATTGATGTTGGGTCATCACCATCATCGACAGGCTTTATCTGCCCACTGCTGCGTATAGGCTTTTCCCAATGATATTGGGTACGTTGCATTTGAATAGAAACATAACATCTAATTATTCCATTCCCTTTATAAATAAAGTTATCCTATAAGGGTTTCGCTTTTCTATAGGATTACGGAACCCAAAAAATCAATAAAACACGAGTAAATTCAAATTACTATATTCATACATTATTGTTCCACATCCTATATAACAGTGTGTCTCAAATATAATTGTCAGAGTGGTCAAGCGCAGAAGCAGTTACCTTAAATGTGGACCGCATTTCGCAATTCGTCGACGATCATTCCACAGACTGACAGACTCGCCAATTTACAATTCTGCATTCTACAGTCTTTGACTTTAAAGAGACAGGACCTGACAAACGCGGGGTCCACTGTCAGATGAATTTACACGTGAGTTTTTGAAACAGTGTATGTTTATAAAGATTACACTAGACTAGATTACACATATGTGATTGAAGGTAAAGCGAAATGTGGTACAATTTATTTAGTAGATTACTATTTGCCTAGTCCGCTTCTTTATGGTCAAAGGTATCAGTATAAAAGCGGACTTATTGATATTCAATATGGTTAAAGCTTTAGCGGTTTCAGTATAATGTAAAAGCGATTCGTGTGAGTGATTTTTTTTGGTATTTTACGGTTTTGCGGTCAACACTTTTTCCACTGCGGTTATTGTACGGTAATAATTTTTTATTCAACTATTGCTTGGCTTAAAACGGCGAAAGTATTATAAACTGTTTATACTTCGCTCCCATTATGTGCGACCTCAAAATATGATTGTTATAAGTTATCTTCGTATGAAATTATTAAGTAACAAAAACAATTAATTAACTTTCTAAATATCATGAAAGTATAGTAATTTGTAAAATAGCACTATTTCTATGTGCAATGTGTTAAAGAAGACTATAATAATTTAAACTAGTAATCAAATTAATCAAAATAATGCGTCGGTGGTTCAGAGGTCAAGCAGTTGACTTGCAATCTGCAGGTCCTGGGTTCGAATCCCGCCATGTACCAATGTGTTTTTCGATTTCTGATTTACAAATGTACATTTATCCGACGATCTTACAGTGAAGGAAAACATCGTGATGCAACCTGCACAAATCTGAGAAGAAATTCAAAGATATGTGTGAAGACAACCAACCCGCACTTGGCCAGCGTGGTTGACTATGGCCTAATCACCTTTAACTTAGGGTAGGCTCCGAGCCCCTCAGTGGGGACCTCAGTGGGAGCGAGCTGATGATGATGAAAATATTAGTACATTTTATGCGTTCGTATAGATATTGGTTTAGAAGACTTCATTTAG